AGGAACAGCACCAGCTTGGAGTCCTCACTCCTAGCCCAGTGCTCTTTCTGTTACCCCTGATATCCTTCTCTGCACTGAGGGTGCTTAAAAATCATGGAAGCTTGATTTGAGTAAGGAATAAATAAAGGAAAAATGTCATTGAGGTCTAGGAATGTCCCAGGGGTGTACCTGGGAACCTGAGGGTCAGGTTTCTCCATTCGGTGCAGACACTGACTCACAGTTCGACTCTGGGAAGTTCTGTGGTCTCTCTGTGTTCCAGTTGTTCTAGCCACACACTTGGCATCCTACTACACAGACCTCACTGGAATTGTCGTGGAGGTTGATGAGGTAATCCTTATGAAAATCTGTTAGCTATTCGGATGAAAGCCACAGTTGTGTCTATAAATGATAGGCTGTCAGATATACAACACAGACTTCTCTATCTTATATTGCTTTATCAGAAGCAGCTACACTTCAGCCAACTAAACCCCTATTATCATCAGTTAGCTAAATCTTCCCCCGCCCCACCCTCTTGGTCATTTTTATATATTTAGTTTCTTGGCCGTTGGGTAGAACAGAGGCCTTGTGTATACTGAGTGTTCTAACACTGAGCTACATCTCCAATCTCCATTCGAAGTCTCCTTATTCTGGTTCCCTGAGTTTCAAACTAATATAAGGTCTTCACTTACTTCACCCCTCTGCCTCTTTGTTTCTCCATCCACCAAATGAGGATAATAACAGGGCTGTGGCTAGGATTTAATAAGTTAATTTATGTAGCATATAGCCTTGTGCATAGAAAATATTGGTGTTAGCTGTTATTCGTGTAGCTGAGAGTGGATGGTAATGGATGTACACACCCTTTCTTGGTCTTGCTGTAGTGCTTTGTGGTTTAGTATTTCTTTGCTTCTGAGGGGATACACTGAAGATTTCTGTAGGTAAAGTAACAAGGCTTCTAGCCTCTGGAGATACAGACACGATAATGAAGGAGAGATGGGTCACTCAGGCCACAGGGTCTCCTAGACTTCTCTCTAAGAATTTGCTTCTTCAGCTGTCTGGTTCAACGTTGTATCTTTGACACCCAGGGACTCAATACTGGCTAGTGAATGAATGAAAAAAATGAACTTGTGAGTCTATTCAAAGACTAAAATAGAGGATGGCCATAAGGAAGGAAGTCAGGTTGGCACTGTGGAGTTCCCAGGAGGAAGGACAGACACACTTAAGACAGAGAGAGGAGGGTTGTATGTGTGGGAAAAAGGGTCACTGTTGGGTGATGGACAAGAGACAGAAGACTCCAGGCCCAAAAATAGAAAGTAGAGGGATGGGTGTGCAGTGGACGAGTGGGCCCAAAGAATCACTGGGTTTTGTTTTGCTTTGAACAAAGTCAGCTATCGTAAGGAGGCAGTGGAGAGCATTTCTTTCTAACAGCGATTGTCTACAGAGATTTCCAACTTTTAAAAGGCTCATTCTGAGGGTGTCACAAGAACACCCTATTAGAGTGTCTGTCTACCTGAAAATAAATCCTTCTTCTTTGTACTCAGGGTGTTTCCCTGTTAATAATAGCCTCCTACCATGACCCCAAGTTGTTTCACAGCCTCCCTGAAAGTAAAAGCTGCTCGTTGTTTTGGTACTTCCCCCCTCCCATTCCTAAATATACTCTCTCCCAATTGGCGCCATAGTAATGTCATCCCCACCACAGCACTGCCATTGAGTCAAGGGACAAGTCGGAGCAACTGTCTTTGTTTCCTTCTCTTCCTCATCTTGTTTAGTTAGATAGAAATAGTTTTCAATGAAATTCAATAAGCATTTACCCAACACTTGCTTTGAGCAAAGCACCATGCTAGATTATACATAGCAAAAAGGTGCCTAGGCATGGTCTCTGTTTGTTTGCTGATTGTATAATGACTGGCAAACCATTTCAGTATCTCTATTCAATCTTTCTAGACTATAGGTTTCTCTTAATTTGATTTGTGTGCTCTAGAATCCAGTTGAAGTCAGATTTGAGAATAATAAAGAGAAGTCTCCAAGAAACTTCCCAATCCCTCCCCTGAGTGTACTTTCTATCTCTTACAGCATGTACTGCTTTTACATTGTGTGCTATTTATTTGTGTACAATAATCCGGAAAGGAAGCAGGCACAGGGAAAGGTGTCTGAGGAGTGGAAACAGAAGACCTGTGTGCTTGGATTGGAGCCAGACACAGATGGGAATCAACCACGAAATCTTGGCCGGGCCACTTAATCTCCATACCTCTCTTTGCATCTAGAATTGAAAGGTAAGTGCCCATTTCATAGAATAATGTGGAAATTAAAGTCGTTATCATATGAACATGCTTTGAGAACTATTATCGATGTGCTAATTTTGTTATCCCTTATGCAATCTAGCAAAGGACCTTGCCCATGAGAAAAAAATCTATTAAATATTGATTAAATTACTGAATAAATTATAACAACCAGTCTGTGGCATATTATTCTTCACACTGATATTGTTTTCCTACCCCACATTGATAGTAAGGCTTATCTCTAGTGCCTTATAGGGCTCAGGGAGGAGTGTTTGTAGGGATTAAGCAGAATCAGAGGGGTGGTGTTGCTGGTGGAGCTGCCGGTTAGATAGTAAGTGCCCAAACCTCCCCTCATGCTTCCTAGGTCTTGCTTCTATCTTAATAGGTGAGGATAATAGGGAGGATCTAGTAATGCAAAGTATGGGCTTTGGAGTAATATAGTTCTGGGTTCAGATCTTGGGTTTGCCTTTACTAGTTGTGTGATGAGGAAATTTGAAATTTTGTCTAAGCCTTAATTTTCTCATCTGTAAAATGAAGGCAATACAGGATTTTATGATTAAAATTAGATGTGAGGAATTAGTTAAGTAAACACAGCATGTGTTAAGTACAATGATATTCTGCCCTTGCCCTTGAACATGAATTGAGCAACCACCATGGGCCAGGCACCTTATCAGTGATGGAGATAGACCCTGTCATGTCATCAATGTGCAAGTCAGAGAGGTAACTGATGACTGGCATACATGGTACCAAGTCTTATGACATAAATAAGAACAGGATGTTCGGGAACAGTGTGGAGCCACCCATGCCCTGACTGAGAAGCTGTCAGAAGCTATCAGGGCAGGCTTCTTGGAGGGAGTGATGCGGCTTGAACGTGGAGGAGTAAGCCAGGTGGAAATGATCACTATGAGCAAGGATGCAGAGGTTTGAGAGAGCTCACACATTTGAGAATGGCAGGTCTGACAAAATGAAGCTGTAAAGGTTTGTAGATACCAGGTCATGGTGTACTTTGCAAAAGGATTTCTTTTTTTTTTTTTTTTTCAGAAGGAACCGGGAGGAACTGATGGATGTGCCTCTCACTTAGAAATTTGTAGGGGGGTAAAGTATCTTGATATCTGAAATTAATGCAGGTTAGCTGAGAGCTGGTGGCCTATAATCCTAGCCATTCAGAAGGCTGAGATCAGGAGGATCGTGGCTCAAAAGCAGCCCAGGGAAACTTTCTCCAAAATAACTATAGCAAAATGGACTGAAAGTGCGACTCCAGCAGTAGAGCTCCCTGCTTTGCAAGCACGAATCCCTAAGCTCAAACCCCAGTCCCACCAAAATAAATAAATTAATTAATGAAGGTTTGAGCCTTCACACCTGACCTTCGATCCTGGCTAAGACCCAGAGGTGTCCTAATTCACTTCACCCTTCTGTAATTCCGTGGTTAACCAGCGGTAACACCTGTCCCTCTAAATTCCAACTAAATGCAACTCGAGTTAGTTAGCAGCGAAGTGCGTGTCACCTAAGGTGCATTTAAAATAACTATCAGTTCTCTTGGCTGACCTACTACTGGCTAACTGGAACATAAAGGCGACGGCTAGGCCTCTGTCTCCTCCCATCCTTCCCTTTCCTCTTTCAGCAGGGTAAGCAGTAGCAGACCAAAGCCAGGGACGTGGAGGATGTCCACTCAAGCGAGCTCTCCTAAGTGATGATTAAAAAGCAGCCTCCCGGAGCCGGGCGCGGGCCGGAGCGAGATTGAGCATGCGCAGTGCGCGGGGCGGTGGAGGTGGAGGAGCCTGCCGCGCATGCGCACTCCCGCCTCTGCGCTCTCCATCCAGTGCCGCAGCCGGAAAACCGCAGCGGCGGCGGCGGCGGCGGCGGCGGTGGCGGCGGCTGCTGCTGCGAGGGAAGCGACGGAGCCGGGCAGCAAGAGGAGGGGGCGGTGTTTAAAAAAAAAAAAAATACAAGGACACAGTTGATAAGGCAGGAGCAGAGAGCTTGAGATTTGCGGCCTCCGCCGTCATCGGGGTGGAAGAGCCGGGAAGCTGCGGCGGCTGGAGACGGCGACGGCGACGGGAGGGGAACGCAGAGGACGGGACAGGCCGCGGGCGGCCTGCCGTGATTTTGACGTTTTCCTCCGTTTGGTGCGGCCGCCGCCCGGGTCCTGCGCGCTCCCTGGTCTTGCGTGTTCCTCTGCCGGCCAGCGGGTGGAGGGGCTCCCCGCTCCTTGGGCAGGGAACGGGAGGATCAGGCAGGGCGTGCGGGCATCGCCATGGCGGGGACATTTTCCACAACGTGATTGTTCAAGACTCTGGCCCCCCCTTTTACCCCCCCCTTCCCCTCCGCGCCTTAAAATTCCGGGCCCTTCCAGCCTCCACCCTCCCCCAAGCCCGTGTGACTAAACGGAGACAAAGGGGAGGCGGCCTCGCTCACACGCGCGCTCGCGGGGCGGGCGGCTCGGAGGGGCGCGGGGACCGACGGACGGACGGACCGACGCGCGGCCACGGCTCGGCCACATTCCTATGCCTGGGGGCAGCGGGTCCCGCGCGGGGCGGCGGGCTCGTGGCGCTGACAGCTGAGCTGCTGCTGCTGCTGCTGCTGGGTCGCCGGCCGGCCGGGCGGGCCTCGCCCTGTCCCCGGCCCCGGCCCGATGGTGTGAGCGCGCCTCGCCTCCCCTCCCCGACCACCCCGTCCCCCCACCTCCCACGGCGGCCGGGCCACACCATGTGAATGAAGGGCAGCGCCCGCACGTCCCGAGCAGCCGCCGAGAAAGATGGGGGATGCTGCAGACCCCCGGGAGATGAGAAAGACCTTCATTGTTCCAGCCATCAAGCCTTTTGACCACTATGATTTCTCCAGGGCCAAAGTCGCCTGCAATCTGGCCTGGCTGGTGGCCAAAGCCTTTGGGACAGGTAGGTGGTGGTTTCCCCTCCTGGTGGTGCCCATATCCCGGTTTTTGTTCCTGGTTCTCGAACCCCCCCCCCCCACGCCGGTCCTGACCCCCTTCTGTGCGTGTCTTTTCCTGTACAGGTTCAGGGAGATGATGGGAGGTCGGGGAGAGAAAGGAAGGAGGAATAAAGAAAGCAGGTTTGGTGTCCGTGGTTTGGACAGATTTCCTTTTATTGGATAGCAAGAGTGTTAAAGGAAAAAAATTAGTGAGCAATTTTGCCGTGTTTTTACATAGGATGATTTTAATTTGTGGTATTTTTCTCATTTGCTGCATACACTTCTCCTTCAGTCATAATTGCTTGCGATGACACTACCAAGAAATCTGAGTTAGTTTCTTTATTACTGGAAGAAGGTGGATGGCACGTCGTAGTCGATTGATTTTGACATTTGTAATGGTGGCTGCTGTTCAGGCCCTATAGGATGGAAGGTGGCCTGTGTTGAGGTGTAGTGTTAATTTGGTCGTCATTCTTTACTCCTAGACCAGCCCTTCCTATACATTTAAGGTTCTTATTAAGCCATTTGTTAAAAACTAATTTAGTTGCCAACTGTAGGATGCTGTTTTCATTTCATATTGTCAGTGGAGCATATTCTTTTCTCCCAGTATGTTTTGGCTTCATAAATTAAGAGAAACAAAAACATCCAACTTTGGGGATTTTTGTTGTTGTTAGTAGAAGAGGTTTTTGAGGGCATGTGCTGTTGACACAGAAATCCCTGACTAGAGTGGCAATGAAACACTCCTTCCATAGTCCACCCTTTGCAGAATAACAGGAAAAGGCCTCCTGTTGTAATTCCTTAGCTGTTGCTGGAGGAGCCCATGTTGTGGAATGCTAAAAAAAATTTAGAGAGCTGGCTTTTCTTTGGAAGATGCTCTTGTAATTTAGTCTGCTAACTTGTAATTCACCAGATTTCTGTTACCCAGTTCATAAATTTTGGATACATAAAATATTTTTTGTAAAGTGCCTTAGTATTTCCAAAGTTTTCTCCGGACATTTAATACAGCCTTCTTTTTTTTTTTTGAAGGATGGCAGATTTCCAATTTTAGGATGGTGAAAATATGTGGGTAAATGGTTTAGTTCAGTTTTACGGTTTAAACTTATACATAGCTGAGTGTTTTCAGGACTCGTAAGGCTTAATTAAACAGATGAATCTCGCTGTTGGAAAATTATTTGAATTCATTTTGGGGGAACCTCACATGGGTGTAATCTTATGTGTATGTCAGCCCTAATTTTATTTGAATTCTCATGCTTTGCTATTGAACTGTCATCAGGAATATACATAACAAGTGTATTTGAAATAATTTAAGTTTTAAATATTCCTTTAGGGCTAAATGTCTAGAGAAACACAGGAGACGCATGTGCATTGCTGCTTGTTTGTTGTTTAATTTCCCACTGATGCGTGTGGTGGGACTAATAGATGTACTTTGTTTTTAATTTAAGCAGCACCCTGAATGTGTTATCCATTTGGAGGGTAAGTGAAAGGCTATTTAAGTATTTAGAAAAAAATGGAAGGAGGAAAATTTATGTAGTACCCTATGTGGAACATAATGTAGAAAAATGGAAGGCAGAGGGCATCAGAAAAGTAGATCGGATACTTAAAGCCAAAATTTGGCTGTGCATTCACAAAGGCTGCTAACCAGAAAATGCCCTACTTTCAGGATATGTGTCAGGCCAGTGACTTGATGGGAACCACTTGAGAAGAAAGGAAGTGAAAAGAATATGCCATGAATGAAATCTGACCTCTGTCGGGCACACTGCTAACATGCTTTACGTGAATTTTACATTTGGGATTCACAACTTGAGAGTGTGTGTCAATAGTGTGTTGCCCATTTAAACAGAATGAGGAATCCTGGGCAGGGAGGTTGGACAGCTCTCTTAGTGACACTGTAAGTGATGGAGATGAATTTACATTTGAGGTTGGACTGCAGAGGGTAAGGTAACAGTGGAGATGGGACATGCCTGTGTATGCCCAACCCTCGAAGTATATTACTTCACTTATGGGCTGGGGCATGGCTCAAGTAGTAGATCACCTGCCTAGTAAGTGTGAGGCCCTGAATTCAAATCCCAGTACCACCAAAAAAAAAAAAAAAGCAACTTCACTTATTCCTATAGCTATCCTAGAGATACTGTTCTCGTTTTGCAGATGAAGGAATTGGCTTGGAGATTTCTTTGCACAAAGGTAAACATCTGGACATGGCATGTGCCACATGCCAATTTAGGGCTTTCTGACTCTGAAGACTTTGCTTTTTATTCTACATCATTGTGCAGAGTAATACTTTTGTCTGCGAGTGTGAAAAATGTGCACATAGTAATTGTTGAAGTCTGTTTTTTTTTTTTTTTTTAAAGATCAGGCAGATCTTAACTCACTTTCAGATGGTTTAGATAAATATTGTTGGTTACATTTCCCTTGGCAGCGGTTGAAATGGGTAAAAGATCGTAATCAAGACCTTAAGAGAGTGACTTACTAGCGCAATTACTACATTATTAAAGAAGTTCTGTTTGTACTCTTTGTTTATGCTTTGTCAGCAGTCCTTCAAAACATAAATTTATATGAAATGAATAGAAAATAAGATTTTTTATTTTCTGCGATAAGCATTTGCTTCAAACACTTATGCAGAAAGTTAGTAGACTAACTTAGTAGACACGTTAGTGGGTTAGTACACATGTTTCAAAGTTATTGCCCAATTATATTCACTTATTCAAAAAATTAGCCCAACTTTCAAGGTTAACTTATTAAAATCTCTATTTAACAATGACAAATAGGGTTTTTCTGTCAGAAGCCTTCTAACTTTTGGCATGTAAAAAGTAGTCAATTTTAGAAACATATATTTGGAAAAGTCATTTAAAAATGATAGCTGGAAATTAATCGTGGGCATAGATTAAACTAATTGAACTTTAAAAAGAAGGCCCTAACATTGTGACCCCACAGAAAGCAGACATGAATATTTATTGAGTTTGAAGTCTCTTGTCAGGAACTTTAAATAATGTTCTTTTCTTTACCCTAAAAATATTCCAAATAGCTCAAGTCTTTATAGTTTATTTTGTGGAAGAAAGTAGCTGCAGTTTTGATCGAATGAAGCATAAGTTCGTATAGATGAATTTGCAACAATAATTTGATACTTTAGTTTACTTTAAATTGCAAAGGAGGAGGAAGTAAACTATTTGCTTACATTTGAAGAGCTTAACACATTTAAGTGATGATATGACTGAATTTGTTTTCAATATTCTGTTCCCTTAAATCCTTTGGGGAAATGGTAGGTACAGAACCTTTTGTGGTAAATTCTTTTTTTTTTTTTTGTGGGTTGACTGGAGTTTGAACTCAGGACTTCACAGGTGCTCTACTACTTGAGCCACACCTCCAGTTCATTTTGCTCTCCATATTTTAGAGATGGGGTCTTGAGAAGTATTTGCCCAGGCTGGCATGAGCCACCCATGCCTGGCTCCTTATTAAATTCTTGATTTGGAGTTCTTAATGTGGAACTTTCTAGTGTCAATTTATAATGTTAACCTTATCAACTGTCATTTTCCTTTCTATGCCATTTAGTTTAGTTATGTAAAAGCATTTGCTATTATAAATATACCTTGTTACTTTTTTTTTGTATATCCCAATAGATCTTTTCAAAATCCTACATAAGACCTGACTCTTACATATTTATGAGGATTGTGAGAGCAGTGGATAGCATTGTGGTAAAGAAAGATGTGGAGCAAACAGGTGAGGTTGGGACATTACTATTAAGCCTGGGCTGGAGGTGATGAGGGCTTGAAGTGGGATGGAAGTGACAAGAAATCTAGTATTTATTGAGCAGTTACTGTGTGCCAAGCTCTTTACACATAGTATCTCATTTTAATCCTCATGACAGCCTTATGAGATGGAAACTGGAGTGATTACTCCAGTTGTACTGATGAGACTCACGGGTTGAGGCATGCAGATCCACACAACTAGTGGAGCTGGGATTGGAACCAGGGAAATCTGATTTCAGTCTATGCTGTTAACTACTATATGGGCAGAAATCAAAGGAGCAGAAAAGAAGCAAATGACAGAAAACGCAGAGGTTGCAGAAATTTAATCCTTAGTATTTCTGAAAGACTGAATTTGGGTTGCATGGGAGTGGTTTAAATGAGAAGAGAATATATAAGAGGATAAGGTCACCTGAGGTTTTAGGGAGGATGAGGTTACCTGAAACTTTTAGATTTAGTGACTGGGAAGATGAATTGTGATTCCAATTGACAAAGATAGAGAAAAGCACAAGTTGGAGTGGGAAGGCAGCTTTTGTTTTTTATAGCCTTGAATTTGATGTGTTAGCCAAGCATCTTGTCTGGATAGTTAGAAATGTAGGTCTGCAGTGTGACTGAGAAATTGAGTCTAGAAATAATAATCTGGTACTCTGGGTATAGCATTGTGATTGAAATTAGAAGTAGATGTGAGGGTACAGGAAGAGAAGAAATGAATTTAGAGTGATGAGTAGTTGGGATGAGGGAAAAGGAGGACGAATTAGAGCAATCAGAGAGTTAGCAAGAGGACTGAGAAAGTACTTTAACACTGAAGCCCAGGGAGGAAACAATTTCAAGGAGAGTAAGTAGTCTGCAGTGTCAAATGCTGTAGGTTTAGGCAATGCCTGTCTTTTAAGAGTTTATGCTTTAGTAGGGGAGATAAGAGAATGTAGAACTACATTAGAACTCAGGAAATGTATGGTAACAGCCATGTAATGGGACAGTGACTGAGGTAGACGGGTAGGGTGGAGAGGGATCACTTTCAGCCTCAGTAGTCTGTGAAGGAAGACCTGTGGAGTGGAGCTAAACCCTGAGGAGAGTCAGATAGAGTGGAAAGCAGGTATTGTAGATGGAGGAAATGGTTTGTGAGTAGGCACGGCATTGTGACACCAGGTGACATCAGTGAAGCAACATAGATCAGTTAGATGAGAGGAGTTTATGTAATGAATTGATGGTAGATGCAATTTGAAAGGTAA